CAAACACAGAGACAAACTGCAGTTTCTGTTAATAGAATAGAATAGAATAGAATAGAATAGAACAGAACAGAACAGAACAGAACAGAATTCTTTATTGGCCAAGTGTGATTGGACACACAAGGAATTTGTCTTTGGTACATATATTCTCAGTGTACATAAAAAGACAAGATACATTCGTCAAGAATCATAAGGTATAGCACTTAATGATAGTCATAGGGTGCAAATAAGCAATCAGAAATAGAGAAACTTAGAAAGGAATGGAGCAGGGAAAAGGAAATGTGTGGGCCTGAGGCTCAGTCAGATAGACAATTTATGACATGTAAGATTTCCATTTATCCTCTGGGGTCTGTGCATTATGCTGGAAGAGATAACTTTGTAATAAACCATTGGTCTTTAAGTAATCCCACCTTTTTTATTTCCTTGCACATATTATTTCCTGAATTTCTGACTGCATGTTACAATGGCTCCCCCCTCTTGTTATAGTACGGTTTGATATTCACTGCAATATACATATAAACCACTGTTTTACTGCTGGAAGCTGGCTAGAGGGATGTGTATGTCAAAATCTACAAGATGTGCTGCTTTTACACAAGTGATGGAGGTTTTTGCTCCTGAAACTGCACCCAACATTCTGCAGATTTTGAATGCCCTGTGGAGAACGCTATCTCTGCCTGTGGTTCAACATTCATTAAACAACCCAGATTTGTAGAAGTGGTTTGTTTTCTTCCTATAGGAATGGTATTTGAAGTTCTCGGAACACTGATTGGAGCTACACTACATGGTCAGATAGTTGCTGGTGCTCACACTTCTAGCCACTGTTTCCAGAATGAAACTATTGGGCTGCAGCAAAACAGCTCTGAAGTCCTAGATGTGTCTTATGGAGTAAGTCAAAAACCATTTTGTAATGTTTTTCTAATGCTACATTACACTAGAACGAGGATGACAAATTTGATGTAATAGACCCAGATCTTAAAAATATGTTTGCAAAGCAAGTTTCATTTGAATTTAGTGGAACTTGCCAAGAAATTGTTCTTATTTCAGTTTATGTCTAATAACTGTATCTCTTCACTGTGATTTGGAAATGATGGATCAAGAGGACTTGTCAAAAGGTGGCAAAGATTTGTGTAGAGATGAGAGATGATCCTATAAGTGCAAAATCCGGACGTATGCCTGATATCATTTAATTCACATAATGGAAAAGCATAAATGTGTAAAATTACAAAGTTTTACATGTGAATTGATTGTATGCAGAATGGGACAAGGAATGATGGGGACATTAGTGTGCCCAGTTCACTCTGGCCCCTATTGTAGCCACCCTATTGCGGGTGTTCATTCTCAACTAGCCCTCCACCACTACTCCTGCCCCACCACTGGTCTCCCTCTCCCCCCCCCCTATTTGGCCATCAGCAGTTCACCCTAGTTAGCACATCAATGTCACCAAAATCAGTTATCATTTAGTTCTGTAAATCCTTTAGTTAATTTCTAACCAAAATTAATTCTAGTAATTTCAGTAATTACCAATAGCACTTAGACTTATATACCACTTCATAATGCTTTACAGCCCTCTGTGAAGCAGCATATAAGTCTAAGTGCTGTTGCTATTTGTAATGCAACTGCTTTGGCTCTTCTACTCACATTTTAATATATAGTTACATTATAGATGTTAATTTAGATATTTAAACTTTATCCCTGACAGCTTTAGTTCAGCAGGGATTGCATCTAGTCCAGCAGATTTATAGAAGACAAAGGGGGTTCCACCACAAATCCGCGAAGCCCTTCTGCGCGGAGACATAAGCGCGAAGACTATTTTGTGCCATTCTAAGCGCTAGGAAAAAACGCGACCCTACCGCGATGACATAATCGCGGAGGGCAAAATCGCGCATTCCCAAGCACTCAGTACCCT